AGATGTGTATAAGAGACAAGCAATAAACAATCCACCATATCCGAGGGGCGTGGCTTAAGGGAATGGCGTAGCATGATGATGATGCCGATGATGATGATGCCGATAATGAATTATGAATGTTTACAGTTCATGATTTGGACCACGGTTTCAGCTGTAAAATTTAGCGGTGTTTTAATAACCTTTTAACCAGTATTCTCGCAGTAGAAATATAAATGAGCCTAGTAAAACGAATTATACATTATAAGAAACCTTCGTGACAAATATACCAGCGAAGATTACAACTTTAAATATTAGTGCTAGGTTGAAATTAAAATAATTCTCTTGAGCTGACGTCAAAAAATAATTTCGAGCCCATAAAGGCCTAATAAAAATTAAAACATTTAGCTTTGTGCAAATTTTTATTTAGGCCTACATAGGCAAATTCTAGTGACAGGCCTATTCATTTTTATCTTTTGAAAGAGCACGGTACGCACGCATTGTTGAAAAAACTACAAAACAGAATATTTCGCGAACGATTCGTTACGCGATATTAGAACGCTATGACTTGCAATTTTCCTTTGTCCTGTGATTATTGATGCATGTGAAGTAATCGATGCACCACACAATACAATCGCTCTCCCCTATCAAGTTGCTATAATATTAAATAATCAAAGCTTCAGCTTCACTGTTACAGCTATGTCGCCGAAATACACGCTCACGTATTTTAATGCCAGAGGTGCGGCTGAACCCTGTAGGTTTATGTTTGCTGTAGCTGGGGTAGAGTACGAAGACAAGCGCGTTAAATCAGAAGATTGGCCTGCTATTAAAGCTGGTAAGCATTGTAGGCCTATGCCTTGTTTTTCTATAGCATTTATTATTTGCTGATGTCATTATGTGAGTATCTAGAAGCAGTCACACCTGGCCAGGATCGGAAGAGTAGGTGTGATTGCACCATTGCACAATATCGTAAAATTCTCGAATAAGCGCTGCACCAGCCACCCAAACCTGATTTTTTTTTCGCTAAGAGCCGCTCTCGAATATTCGCCGTGGCGCTTTAATCGGGAGGTAGGCCTATTACCTGTGTGTAAATGAAACACTTTGAGATACAGGGGTTTAAATACAATGTAACAGTGTTAAAATGAATAAATAGCACAACGAAGACACAAGCATTTCTTTATAAACGTTTATTTACTATGACAAGACCTATGATAATGCCTACCGAAATACGGGAATACTAAGATGAGCAACATGGGAATGGGTATGGAAAGCGTACGCCAATGTGTTTTTTATAAGCGCCGCTCTCAAATAAGCACCGCACACTGAAGCCTCCAAATTTTTAAAAGCGGCGTTTATTCGAGCATTTACGGTACAGCATATCGATAGAAACTTATAAATTTAGGGTCTAACTAAATAATTGGTATCATAAATGGCAATACATAATTGGTATCATAAATGGTAGGGTTAGGGAAGATAGGCCGCCAACTCCTCGGATGGGTGAAGAGGGTCTCAGTGATTTGAAACTATCTAATCTATCACAGAGTCT